TCAGTTTGGGATGGGGTCAGGAAGAAGCAGGGATTGAGGGAGAGTGAAAGGGGGGGCTGAGTCGCTGACCAAAAGTTGCCAGTCAACCACTGATTGGAAGTCAGGTCTTCTCTTTCCAGCATCAGTATCTGACCTCATAAATATTTTTTCTGAACTGAATGGGCACAATCTCCCACAATAAACTCCAACATTTTGTTGAAGGCCTTCCCTGAGGACTGGAGGCTGCTATAGCTGCAGAGCCAATTCCATTTTAATGCCCATGGGTTTGTAATACAATGTCCAACAAGCTCATATAGGTGTTATGGTCAGGTTTCCCCAAACCATTGACCATATAGTGTATGTTTTTTGCTTAGTCAGTGCTGTGTAAATAATTCAGAGAGCATGTTATGTACAAACATCTGAATGTCATCCAATGACTTATCAAACAAACTGCACTTTCATCTATAACACATTTTGATAATTTCTCTACTATAATTTTTATTGTCCAACTACTGTAGTACTTTATCTGACTACAGTAAAGATATCGGATTGGTTGCCTCAGTTAACTGAACTTTATAAAGTCATAAAAATTGCTGTTATCAAATAGGCTTGCAACCCTGCTGCTTCTGGCTTGCTAGAGCTGTTCATCCGGAGGTAAGTCACACACTGCATTGCTTCTGTAACTTTCAACTGTGCACCCGATTAGTAACAGTTAAAGCGGAACTAAACCTTAAACAAATCTGTAGCCTCCCTCATATGTCTGTCCTCACAGGTTCCCTTTAGCATTTGCTCAAAAGTAAAATTATACTTAACCACCTGAGCTCCAGAAGATTTTACCTCCTTCATGAATTTAACTTGCAATTGCGCAGTCATGCAATGCTGTTGCCACACAAAATTTATATCATTTTTCCACACAAATAGAACTTTCTTTTGGGTTTATTTGATCCCCACTGGGTTTTTTAATTGTTTAATATATACACGAAAAAAGACCAACATTTTTGAAAAAAAAACATTTTTTAAATTTCTGCTATAAAACCCCATAAAAAAATTAAAAAAATCTAATTTCTTCATAAATTTAGGCCAAAATTTATTCTGCTACATGTCTTTGGTAAAACAAAAATCCCAATAAGTGTATATTAATTGGTTTGCGAGAAAGTTATAGCATCTACAAAATATGGGATATATATTGGAACTTTATTAATTTTTTTGCTAGTAATGGAGGCGATTAGCGACTTATAGTGATACTGTGATAGTGCAGCGGGCAAACTGATGCTGAGGGTAACTGACTAACTGTCACTGACATCTGCAGTGACACTAATACAGGGATCAGTGCTAATAATGTACGCTGTCACTGTACTAATGACACTGGCTGGGAAGGGGTTAATATCTAGGGGTAATCAAGGGGTTAATTGTGTGCCTAACAAGTGTTCATGTGTGTACCATGTGCTGCTTTTTACTGCCATTGATCTGATTTCCCTAAGCAGGGAAAATAAGCAAAGAGATCTTTTCCTCTGTACAGAGCCCTGTGTTGTTTATCAACACAGGGCTCAAGTCTGTGATTCAACACATCTGATCAGCAGGTCTCAGCCATGAATCATTGACCGGGATCTGTTGACAAACTCCCACCTGGAAAAAGCTGGGGAGAAGATGCCATCACCGGTAAGGGACCTCACAGGCATCGGACAGTTGGAATTAAGATGAGTATTTTTGCCTTTATTTCTGTTGTAAGCAACCTTACATGGCTCGATTGTCTCTCAGTCAGCTTGCAGCTGCCCAAAGGATGCTACTGAACAGTGACTAAATCTGATAGGATGCAGTCACTGTACTGATGATAACTCACTTTGTTAATCAATTTTTAAATCGACTTTTGCCAAGCCAGGTGGTGCTTGCAGAATCACCCATAGCTCAAATTTTGAATGATTAAGCCCAAGCCATTTAATGCCAGTGTAATGGTCAATGACAGTCTCTTCTACAGGGTACTGGGAGAGGTGTCCTTGTTTTTTTGTGCTTTTACAAATTGCCTTTAAGCCCACAGAGGACCTATAAAAAAAGTTGAAAAAACATGCGATGTTGCATTTTTTTCCAAAGACTCTTAAGTGACACATACTTTATATATTATTTATTTTTCTAGTTTGAATTTCCATTTTGTCATTAAGGATAGACTAAGCAAGTGCACTGATCAGAATAGACTGCAGGGAGGATAAATGACAGAGCTACCACCACAAATCAATAGCGTTGGAACCTGACCAAGCAAAATACAGTCAACAAACAAGTAGACTCCTCCAGGTGATCATTAAGCAAGAAAGTTATATGAACAAATAAATGTGTTGATCTATAACAGTGACGGATGAGGTGCTAAATGAGCATCCAGCTAAGTATTTACCTACGGATGTAAAAGGCAACGAAAGTCAAGAAAGGCCTTTAATAACTAGCAAAGGTTAACCCCTGAAGAGTCAGTAAATCCGCAGTTTGTTACCCTGACGGCACCAAATTATACCATCTGCAAAAAAAGGCCAGCTCTGAAACACGTACAAAATGCATTATGTAACATGGGTGTATTTGAAAAAAAAAAATGGAATCCTATTCACTTAAAGGGCACTGCCACAATTTATTTTTTAAATTGTACAAGATGGTTTTACTAGAAAACAAGGGGCACCATATGCTCATAGCACACAGCTTTGTGACTTTGGATTTTGCAAGCATGGGAATACCTGAACTCCAAAATAGTATTGAGTTTAAAGGCTGACACACGTGGCTCAAATTTGGGACAGAGAATTCACTAAAATTGGAGCTGTGGGTGTTCCTGCTGGCATCACCTGGCTGAACTACAGTCGATTGTTCAATCCACTTTTGTCAAAAGAGCCAGGAGGAAAGTTATTGGCTGAATAATGCCAGCAGCTAATCAGATGCAGGCACTGTTTGGGTATTCTGATAATAGCCAGTCAGGGGGGATTCATCCATCTGCACTGTTTACAGTGGATGGAGGAATCTGTTTATTTTCTTTCATTCAGCCAACAGATGAACAAAAGAAATCTCTGCATATGTGTCCATCAGCTTTGAGCAACTCAAATCTGTTTATTGGTTACAAAAAGACTTAGCAGGCAGAAAAAATTTGCTCAATTCCAAGGTCACAAAAATAGAGAGATGCCATGTTGTTGAAACAATGCTTTTACTTGGCATTGGTCAGAATTCTGTGTATATAGAAAAGAAAACATATCACAACTTGAATTTGGCTTGCTAGGGATGTAATACACATGGAGCCTACCCATGGAGTGGGAAATGGCCATTCCTGGATAATTTGCTCAACTGTTTAACGTATATATGTAGGCCTCTATGGCCTACATGATTGTAACGTTTGTGATTTTAGGTGAATTGGACAACATTTGGCCTATTTATGTCTGCCTTTCTCAACCTTTTCAACACAGAGGAACCCTTGAAATAACTTTCCAGCCTTAGGGAGCCCATGCTAAAAATGACTGTATCAGCAACTCATGAATAGTGTGATGGCTGTGCGAAGAATACACTTGTGAACATTGGGAAGAATTACCCCCTTACAGATAGCTAATGAAGATCAATGGTGTCAGAGGGAACTTATCTGAGATGCAGAAATTGTTCATTGCTCAAGGAACCCCTAGCACCCTCTGGAGGAACCCTAGGGTTCCATAGAACCATTTTTTGGAAACCCTGCTCTATGTGATATTCTGGAAAAGAACCTTGCCACAGCTCATTCTGTGGCTATTGAAGAGATGGATTGTTTCAGCTGACCATCTACAATAGAAACATGTATGAGTTTGCTTCCCTCAGTTATCCATAAAATGTCCAGGCCATGAGTATTTTGTGTGTACGCACCAGTCCTCTTCCAATAAATATAACTAGTAACATGCAATGGTTTGTGGAAACCATTTGAATTGTGGGAAGGATGATGTCTTATGGCTGACATTTTTAATTTGGTTTGGGTCATGGGTCTTGTTAATGAGTACCTATTGCAAGTTTTAGCTATGCAAATGATGCCCCTATGGTCTCTAGCCTAGTTCTGTCCTACAAAGGGGACCTTTGCAAGATATCAGTGCACACATATTTATGAGAACTGGACAGGCAGTGGTTTGACCATTCCCATTCCTCCCAACTTTCTGAGATGGGAAAGAGGGAATATAGGCAAAGTGCAAACCTCTGCCATGTCCCTAGTTACATGGACCATGAAGAACTCATACACAAAAAAATGAATGGCTAAACCCACAATAATTTTTTCATCACTATACGTCCCTTATACTGGCTTTCAAAATAATGTGGTAATAAAAAGATCTGTGTGAAAGGTTTAGTGCAATGTTATATTTTGGTAATTAAGTATTGCTTTTATTTTAGAGGTCTCCATGTCTGTCCAAAAAGAGGAACAACAGAGGAAGAAAGAGGAACTTGCTTCTAAAAAAGGGACAGTTCCTCCAAAAGACGGACAGTTGGGAGGTATGGATTCCCTAATGCATGATCGCCATTTAGAATGCAATGCTAGTTGATACTGTGCACTCTACAGCCAAGCCTATACACAACAGTACCTCCACAACTGTCCTTAGCCATACACTATATTTTGTTGCAACAAAATAGATGATAAATCATGCTTTTAGATCCTGCACAAATACAGTCACAGTTAATACCTTTGCAAAGCTTTTCTAGGTCACCACATTTCAAATGTAGATTTAGTGGAAAGTGTGAAAAATCTTTTAAGCAAACTGTGATTTTTTTTCAGCAATGATATTTTTACATTGCATCTGACTTTTTTGTGTGCTTATGTGTGTGTGTTTTTTTTTGGCATTTGCAACAAAAAGTTAGCCTCAGTCTTTTTAGATGTTTACAAATGTTTTCATATTATTCATTCTCTAGTCTTTTATGTATTGATTTAACATCTCTGGCAGTTTTCTAAAAATAACCCTTCAATCAACATAATGAAGTCGTATAACCTCCAAGCTAAATTTGACATGGAGAACATGGCTATTTGAAAACGGCAGGGCTGTGTTATTTTATTTTTTTCAAACATGCTGAACTTCATTGTACCACAAAGGTTTAAAGCTACAAGATTCAAAAAAACATATGACGTTGTGTATACTTACTTTAAGCAATTTACAGCGAATTTGAGCGGAGACCATATGGCTGTTTCTGAGGTTGCCCACTCTGAACATCAGGGTGAGCTTGCCATCCCTCATGGAGATGACGGCATGTTCGCTGAACATGAGAGTCTCTGCTCTCTTTTTGGGTTGGGACATCTTAATAAACATGCAGCCTATTAAAAAGGCATCAACGATGGAACCAAGGATGGACTGGAAAAGGAAGAGAATTATTCCTTCGGGGCACTTGTCCGTGATGTACCTGAATCCATACCCGATGGTGGCCTCAGTCTCGATGAAGAAGAGAAAGGCAGATGGAAAGTTGTAGACGTTGGCCACGCAAGGTGTGTAGTTCTCGTCATGTGCTCTGTTAAGATCCCCTCTCATGTAGGCAATGACCCACCACATGGATGCCATGAAAAGCCAGGCAACGGTGTAAGTTAAAATGAAGATGAATAGGTTCCAGCGCCATTTAAGGTCCACCAAGGTGGTAAAGAGGTCAGAGAGGTATCTGCTGGTCTCGCTTCCCAGGTTCCCATGCTGGACATTGCACCTGCCGTTCTTCTCCACAAACCTCTGCCTTTTCTTTTTGGGGGCAGCTTGATTAAATCCAGAGCCACTGGAGGAAGTGGTCACAACCTGATAATCGTCCCCAAATTTCCTTCGGAGTGCAGACATAATATGAAAAAAAGCAACAACAGCCAGATTCAGTGGATGTGCAAATCAATAGTTAGTTTATTATTCTGGCCTTTTGTCGTCTCTTTTTGGTTGCCTTCCACAGCCTGGGTACCTGGCAAACTATCGTTCTCCTGCGCCAAGCTACAAACCTGATAATCCGTCAGAATCCATTGAAAGGTTGCGTGAACTGGTCAAAGCAGGTTACGAAACTGACTGGCAATAGCTTCTTAAACACAATACAAATGATCTCATTATCTCATCCTCAGATCCCTATCCCTTTGGCTTGGGTTCTGCAGCACAGCATCTCCGGCAGCTTTTGCGTTGCCTATAAGTTAGCATGCAGAAAGAAACAAAACAAAAAAAAAAGGAATAGAAAAATATAGCAATCTGGTTACAAGAGTGACAGCGAATCTCGCTCCCGTCTGTTCAGGTGGAAGTCTTTCAGGATGGCTCTCATTGAAAGTATCACTGAGCAAATGCACATGGGTTCGAGCGAAGGTCCAGGCTTGCAGTCTCACAGAGGCATAGTCCCCCCTCCCCTTAAAAAGAGAGGCTCAGCAGAGCAGAACTGTCTTGTGCTTGCAAGGATTTGAGGTTGCAACATCCAGCTTGCTTTCTCCAAGCAACCTACTCTTCCTATAGCTTCCTGGGATGTTGTGAACAAAAGACACTAATGATCCTCAGAGCTCACAGGGTCTGCCTCTATCCTTATACTCTTTGCAGGAGATCCTTTTGAGGGTCTGACAAGGGGAGGGGGGGGTGGTGGTGAGGTGGATGGCATGAAGGGACCCAGCTCAGGGAGATTTAGCTCCAGTCTTTTTTTCTTCTCGGGGGAGGTGGAAGGATCATGGTGATTGTGGTGAGTGTGTGTTAGGGAGAATGGAGATAGTGTTGGTGGATGTGTGTGTGTGTATATGTGATCAGCTGCAGCGATCCCTGACTCCGCCTGCTCCTCTCCTCTCCTCCACTCCCCATCTGTACGGTGCTTCCAGACTGCAGTGCCCAACACACACAGACAATGAGGACATCTTCCCACACACACTTGTACAGCATGCACTACCATTCATAGGGCCCATCACATCCAGAGCATTGCACACATGCACCATTGCATGCACATCAAGGCAGGTGCACCCAGGAGCACTGGTCCTTAGGAACCATGGACTGTGGTCAACTCTGTCTATAATTAACAGGGGCACTCCACTCAGCCCTTTTCCAGGCAACTGGATTACATTAAAAAAAAAAAAATTAAAAAAATTAAAAAGACATTTAATTACATTAAATATAAAAATAAATAAATAAATAAAAAAGAAAGGAAAAAAAAATTTCCCTTGAAATATCCCTGGATTAAGGTTGGTTTCACACCGATGTGAAAAATGTGGCAAAAAATGCAATTGCGTTTTTCCATTATTTTACATTTTTGGCCCGTTTTTACCACGTTTTTTACATCACACGTGACTCAAAAACGCACAAAAACACATTTATTATGCATTATTGATGTGTTGCTGATGCATTTTCTATTGATTTCACTGGAGATGTGCATTTTAGTGAATTTTTTTACCGCACCAGACCTGCACCAAAAATGCAGCCATTGGGTTTTTAAAAAAAAAAGCACCTGACCCGCGACGGATCAGTGTGAAGAATTCTACAGGTATACATGGTCACACATTTTTTTCCATTTTTCTTCTGCTTTTGTGATAAAAAAACGGATCAGTGTGAAAGCTGCCTTAAAATTGATCTGTGATTGTGATCTGCTTACGTTGGTGTTGGGTGCACTTGCTATAGAGGTGATTCCTATTGCAGACGCAATACACACCGCCATGCTCACCATGTGCTAAATGCACCAAAATATAGACGCATGCCGTTTGTGTGTATTGTTGACAGAAATGATTTCAGTGACTTGCGAAAAGCAAGCCAGTGTGCGGCGATCCCAGGGGTAGCCATACATACTTCGATAAATGATCCATTTCTTTTACAAAGTGAATTGTGGTCAATACATTCCAAATGTACAATCATAAACTGTCAATCGCATCTCCGTTTCCACCATGTAATCTCTGAAATACGATCATACCGATGAACAAAGTATCTCAGTACTGCCAATAGGTGCAAACTGATCGATAATATTCCTCCATAGCTGATCGACCCAGTTTGATTGAATCTGTTTGCAATTCAGTCTGAATTGATTGGAAAGGAAATGATGGCTACTGGATTCTTTGTGGATTTGATCATTTTAACTGAATTTCACATCGATCAGATAAAAAAAGCAGTGTGTATGGCCAATATAACCACCTCCAGGGGTACCATACACAATCTAATGGCAACGAATAATAAATAGGATCCTGCGCTATGGTACAATGTGGTAGCTGCCAGCACCTAGATTATAGCCACAAGGGATACAATAAAATGCAATTATAGTCTATGTAGATGTGGCACTACAATACACCTCCCCATGTGTTCTATTAAAAAGATTATAGCCACTTAATAGAACATAGGGGGAGGTGTATTGTAGTGCCACATCCATATACACTATATTTACAACCTACTTGTGGCCATATACACAATTCCACTTGATCTCTTCTGATAGGAATAGTTGATCTATAGTTTACATCCCATTTGATTGGTTTGCCTCACCTGTAGAAGTGGATTTCAACTGATAGGTAAGATACGATCATAAAGCTGGCCATACATGGATCAAAATTTGTTCAGTTCAGCAAGGACCAGCTGCTTGAGGTGATTGTAGACGTATTACCAGCCACATTTTGATCCATGTATGGGCACCCTGGTTGTACAGAAGTTATTCTACCTTTTATGGACTTCTGTACAACTAGCCTGTCAGGTTTTCCCAATCGATCAGTGCCGCCAGCTATAGCCAGCAGCACTGATCATTGTATTCTGGTGGTGAGGAAGACTCCCCACAGTCAGGACACAATAGCACAGCGGGATCAATTCCCCTCCATCCACATTGAGTGCCTGGATGAGGGAATTGGGTCAGTTTTTTTTAGTTCAACCAGCTCATTGAACAAAACAAATTGAATGTATGGGCTGAACGAAAGTTATTGAATGCATCTCCACTTACATTCCACTATGTCATTTCATAATCTGACTGGTCAAACTACGATGATATTCATGAACAAACTATCCCAGTGCTGCCAATCGATGCAGAATAATCAATAATATTCCACCCTGGCCAATTGACTCTAATCCGATCAAAATTGATTCTAAATTGATCATTAGGGCAGTTATGGCTATTTGATTGTTTGTGGATTTAATTGTTTTGTTCGACCAGATAATCAAATCAAAGTGTGTATGGCCACCAGAAAACATTGTATATGATTCTGATGTTATATGCAGTACAGGGACAGGTTCATCTAGCGCCCAGGGCAAGGATGTTGCACCTCCTCCCCCGCTGTTAATGCATGCCATGGAATAGATTTACTGCCTTGTGTCCATTCTCTGCCACCATGCTCTGCTGTGCCCAGGGCAGCTGCCCTTCCCCCTGCCCACCCCTTGTCCCGGTTCTGGTCATATGTGGCGATTGTACTGTGAACGGTGGACCTAGGTGACGTGATCTGCCCATATACGAAAAATCAAACTTATTGCAGCAAATTGAATAGGACAAGTGGAATTGCACTTAAAAGACCATAAGATCACCTGACATACCTAAAAAAATCTTGCTGATTGTCACATTTATAACACATATGTTTTTATTCATATTAAATAAACTACCAAATCAGCCATTTTATTCTAATAATATTCTGATAATTATCCACCAAGATATAGCCTCTCAGTCAATATTATTGCATGTTCTTTTAGCATGTTTTAGCACAGCTCAGAACTCCCTGAAGTGGTACTACACCCACAAACATAAACGTAATATATCGCAGCTTACCAATTCTTGGATGTGGTGGCTGCATTAGTTTTCTTTTTTTAGGCTTTTTCTCCTCTCTGTTTTCACCTGGTGATCTGTTCAGTAACACACCTCCTGTATTAGAGTGTCCCCACTCTGGATGAAGGAGCACAGGAGGCACCTTTTGAAAAGCAGCATTATCAGTCTGGGGGGAGGTAAGTGTTTGATGAACTAGCAGATTTAGATACACTAACAAATTGAAGCCAAACTCCAGCTTTCACTGCAGTTACAGCAACAGTTTTTTTTTTCTTTTGGGATAAAGATTTTACATAAATAAATAAAAGCTGATTGTAAGCACCCCTGTCAGTGGCAAATGGTTCATGCCAACCCTCTTACTGTAACGTTTTGCTGGACAGCCTGGTCTGTTAAAGGAAGTGGAAAAACAACAGACTTACTAACCAGATCACCAGGTGAAAATAAAGGAAAAGGAGTCTAAATGAATCCAGCTATAACATCTTAGAATTGGTAATCTGCAAAATATGACGTTTTTGTTTTTGGGTTCAATACCAATTACGTTTTGTTTTCTAAAGCATTGAGTGTATATATTACACTGCCTAGCTTTTTCACACACATGATCTTTAATGGCATCCCAGTCTTAGTCCGTAGGGTTCAATATTGAGTTGGCCCCGCCCTTTGCAGCTATAACATCTTCAACTCTTCTGGGAAGGCTGTCCACAAGGTTTAGGAGTGTGTCTATGGGAAGGTTTGACCATTCCTCCAGAAGTGCATTTGTGAGGTCAGGCACTGATGTCGGATGAGAAGGCCTGGCTTGCAGTCGCCGCTCTAATTCATCCCAAAGGTGTTCTATGGGGTTGAGGTCAGGACTCTGTGCAGGTCAGTCAGGTTCCTCCACCCCAAACTCGCTCCTCCATGTCTTTAGGGACCTTGCTTTGTACACTGGTGGGCAGTCATGTTAGAACAGGAAAGGGCCATCCACCAAACTGTTCCCACAAAGGTGGGAGTGTGAAATAGTCCAAAATGTCTTGGTATGCTGACGCCTTAAGAGTTCCCTTCACTGAAACTAGGGGGCCAAGCCCAACCCCTGAAAAACAACCCCACACCATAATCCCCCCTCCACCAAACTTTACACTTGGCA